ACGATGCGCACATGCAGCATGTAGCATGTACATCTACATGAAAATGACCTCTCCACTACACACAAGTCAGGTCCGAAAGTTAGTTCGTGCCCGAAAGTCAGTACCCGCCCGAAAGTTAGTACGGGTGTGGTCACTAAATTCGAAAGTAAATACGTACTTATTTACGGACTTTTACGGTAGTCTAGTAGAGCAGCCTACCGAGAATTGTCAACAAGACGAATATCTAGGAGCAAACTACCCAATGCTGTAGACAGTATAATTATGATGTACATGTATATTATTGTAACGAAATTCAATTCGATATTTTGTTAAGCATGTTGTCGTGCATATGGTTCGTGTCTTGTAGAGTCCAATATCTGATGTCATATACATGTAGGCTCCGGCAGATTATGCTCGCGAAATCATGGAATCATGCGTTCATGGATGCTCACATTATGCTCGCAAAATCCTCATATTATGCTTTGGCATGCTGTGATCCAGGAGGGTGGTGACGTTCGTGCGGATGCGGAAAATTCGGTTTCTAGCCGAGTCTCGCGCGAACCATGAATTTTTTTACAGTGCGGTGATTCTTTTTTACGATGTTGTACTTATGGAGACTCAAAGTTCGGAAAATTGTGCGTTTTGTACTTGCAAGTGGCAAGTACAACAAAATACAGAAGTATGTTGATCTCTAGCATGCATGGACACCTTGATATGGTATCAACATAGAAAAGAGAAAATAAGTATTAGTACTTCGTATTCATTACTGCTTCTCTTCCTTAGTTGACTTCTTCTGTAAAATATTTTTTCATTGCCAAATTAGTTTGAGTCACCTTACCGGAAAATTATCAAGTTCAACTGTCTTCTAAGTCGTCATACTCGTCCTACATGTCAACCTCGCCCTGCGAATAATCAGCCCATTTCTCCCGCAGCTCCACCTCTCTTTCCATCATGACCGAGCATCAACTATACCTCCTAATCAGGAATTGTTAGAGTAATATCCACTAGATGAAGTGCATACACCGGTCCTTGCAGGAACGTAGAGTAGAATAGGTTTCTTAGTATTTGTTACGGGAACGAGAAGAGTTGATCAAGGGATTCTTCGCGTCGTGTTCCCGTAATGTATACAGCAGAGCATCGCATGTTGTTCCACCCTAAACCTGACCTTAATGACCTGGGATATTGAAGATTGGCCTGTTCCGAGCCAAGATCCACTGGGCCCAGTACCTAGTGAACAGGCACTAAAACTATACTGAGATGCGGTGGGCAATCATCGAGTGCAACCACATCACCGTTAGTTACCTTGTAGTTAACATGTAAGACATGATGAAGATGGTGCAGCTTTCTGAAGGAGAGGGCGGGTCACTTTCACTCTCTGAGAGCAAGTTTGTAAGACCTTACCAACGCTATAACCAGGGAATAGTACAATTAGTAGTACAATTAGTAATACAATTAATATTATTGTATTGAAGTTGACAGCATGTTGTAACAATAATGCTGTCAACTTCAATACATGTTAGCCTATCAAGCAAGGCTTATCGCATGTACACAAGTTTGTACTCCTCCATTTCTACCTGTACCAGGGAGTCGTAAAATATCAACAGCATAAATTAATATTAAAGGTCCGCGTTCCAGCTCTCCACCTTCTCCGCGGACAAACGAGAAAAAGGAGAAAAAGTACCAAAAATGAGGAAATTAATAATTGAACTGGTTTATTAGGTGATGATGGGAGTAGCCATTGGCGGACTATGCTCGGCCAATCGTCAAATTATGCTTTTGATTATGCCACAATTATGCCAACATATATGCTGAATTATGCTGAATTTTGCTCGGTTCCACTATGTATTCACGCTGTACATAGAGGATTGAGAAACCACGCATACGCACACGGCCATGCCCTAAGCATAATTTTGGTCTAAACCGAAAGATTATGCCGACCTTAAACATTGGAATCCGTATTATGCCGGAGCATAATTTTTTGACGAAATCCCAAGATTATGCCAAATATTATGCCGGCATAATCCGCCAAGGGCTAGATGGGAGTCAGTTACAGTCGTAAAAAAACACATTGGTATTTTACGACTCCCTGTCAAATACCAGTACGCGTATACATGGGGAAAAGCCTTCATTTTTCCCGCAGCCAAGCCGCGTGACGGATAAAACAAACATAATGGATTAATGCAATGCAAAACTGCTCGGCTGGCGAAGGAATCAGGAAATAATACATGCTGTTGTGAACCCTCGGGTTCTCTCCAATGTCAGGAGTGAACGACTACACCGTGCGGCACAAGGACAACTATTTTATGATTCTTTACAGTACATTTGACTTCGATCGAATAACAACTAAGACTAAGATCCCAAGCTATTTATAGCATCAGTGTAATGACAGCCGTATATCAGAATAGTGTGTATCTAGTTATACATACCGGTAATTGTACATAATCATATCCAGCTGTAGCATGAAATGACAGCGTATAACAATGTGGTGTGAACATAATTATACATAATTGTACATACAGTC